TGACCTTGGTCTTGTTGAACCTCATGAGGTTCACCTGAGCCCAGCTCTCCAGCTCCTTCTGGATGGCTTCCTATCCCTCTGCCATATTGTATGATCCCATACAGGAATGAAGGCTCACTGGGGACTTCTGCAGAAAGCCTGAAGAAAGGTGAATGGGATCTATCTTTTCCTAGCTACACATCCTCTTCTCATTAGAAAATTATCTTTCTTCCCTGCCTGTAGTCTTTAAGTTGACATGAAATTATCTCAGAAGCACAAATAGCTCCAACTACTCACCTGTACTGGTGCTGCAGCCCTGCCCTGAAGCTGAGTCTGTGACTGGGCCACTGAAGTCTTCCACACATGAAGGGACTGATGCCAGTAAGCCTAGAGAAAGGCAAGAGGATCACAGTTAAACAAAAAATCCCTGAGGTAGGAGAAGCCTTTCCCATGGAAATACCTTAGTGATCACCAACCAACTTTCCCAAAGCAGGATGATTTCAGAGCTGTGCTCCCCCAATGCTGGCCATGGACAGGCATCATGACCCAACAGCACACCTATTTAGGATGCCCAGCCTAGGTTTTTCCCAAAGAATGGGCCTTTGGTGGCATGGGGGTGGTGCTGCTCTCAAAACTTATCAAACTCCACTCTTAGTTGTCCAAGAGCTCCCCGGAAACTAACTGAGCAGCTTTTTCAGGGGCTGCTTCCTCTTGCAAGGACCGGCCAGAGAGACAAGCTCTAATTTTAAGTCACAACCCCTTCTCCTACCATTTCCTCTTGTATTAAAGACAATTTTTGGGAAGTGCTGGCACTCACAGAGTCCCCTGTAGCGTGACAGCTGCTGGTAGATCTGCTTCATGCGCTCGATGTTCAGGCGACTGGTCTCGGCGTGGTTCACCATAGGTTTAGGGTAGTCCACCCCAATGATGCACTTGGCTGCCTTCTGCACAGACTCCGGGGCATTCCAGGGCTCATAGATGTACCGTGAGGGGAAACCCTTCAGTTTGGGCAGGTACCTCCTGAGACACAAACCAAAAGATGCACCAGCACCCATCAAGACGCTGCGGGGAAGCGTTTACGCACCGAGAAAGCGCCGTGCGGCTGTCGGCTGCCCGAGGGCAGGCTGAGGGATGAGGAAAGCTCGAGGCCTGCCACTCACTTCACGTAGTCCCCGCTGGGGTCCGTGCGCCGCCCGAAGCCCACGGGGCAGTAGCAGTGGAAGAACTGCTGGAAGAAGGCGCTGCAGGAGAGCCACATCCAGCTGCCCGCGTTCACGCTGAAATCCGCGTCCAGCAGCAGCTCGTCGAAGACCTGCGGCAACGTGGGAGAGGGAAGTGAGAGCTGGGGAGGGGGCACCCACCGTGCTGGCTCAGGCACTGAGCTGGGAGAGGAGTTCCTGGGAGCCAGAGGAGCGGCAGAGGAGCGATGTGATGTGCTGGAGGCGGTGGGTTGGTCAATGGATCTCCCTTCCTGGGGGTTTCGCAGAGGGCTGGCTTAGCTCTCATGCAGCTACAAGGTAAACGGACACCTCGGGCTCTGATCCTCACCTGGGAGGCGTAACAAGTGCCAAGCATTGACTGTGGGAAGCAGGCAGACACTGCACAGGACAACCACCACCAAAGCCAGAAGAAAGAAGCCCTCTGAAGGTCCCAGAGCACACTGCCACTGAGAGGAGGCAGTTCCAGCACTCGCTCCCTCACATCCATGCACAGGCGTTGTGCTTTTAGCACCTGACCTAAGGCCCACGTTCAGTTGTGCTTTGCTTCATGACAAGATGCCCCTGCCTCCACTTTTTTCTGCAGGGCAATATAGACACTGGGGAGGTTCAAGCTGTCTGTCCCTTCAGATGGCCCAAGAGGAGGGTCTTTTACCTCTTTCCTTGAGAGACTCTAGACTCAGATTTCAGGCATGGAGCGTTCCCTGACGGGCACGGTGATGGTTATACGAGGAAAAACGTCCAGTTAAAAGTGACACTGGCTTTGCAAAGAAAACGGACCGAGAACTTTTACCAAAAAAAGAAACCCAAAAAAAAGCAAGCCCCCCCCCTCCAACCCCAGTCCATATTTTTACCAGTGGGTCCCACTAACATTTAGTTACGGTTACTGGAGACTCTTGAGAGTGTCAGAGCCTCATGGCAGAAGGCTGTCAGGCTGTGGCAGGTCAAGAAACTGCCAGCAAATCCTCTCTTCTACTCAACTTTGACACGTGAAGCAAAAGCCATACCTGTGTGCTCATCCTTGCAGCGAGTGCCAGGGAGACTTTGTTT